CAGGGTGAATTAAGGGGAGGGGAGGGTGTGAGAGAGAGAGAGGGGAGAGAGAGAGAGAGAGAGAGAGAGAGAGAGAGGGAGGGTGAGAGAGAGAGAGAGAGAGAGAGAGGGGGGGGGTGAGAGAGAGAGAGAGAGAGAGAGAGTGAGTGAGTGAGGGGTGAGAGAGAGAGGGGTGAGAGAGGGAGGATGGATGAGCATCAGAAGCCTCCATCAGATGGGCTTTAGGCTCTTTGGAGCAACAGATAGCAGAAGCGGCAGACAGGAGAAGAGAAGAAGAAGAAGAAGAAGAAGAAGAAGAAGAAGAAGAAGAAGAAGAAGAAGAAGAAGAAGAAGAAGAAGAAGAAGAAGAAGAAGAAGAAGAAGAAGAAGAAGAAGAAGAAGAGGGAAGGACACTCTCTCTCTTCTCTCTTCCTCCCTCAATCTTTACCACAGTCTCTCTCCTCCTCTCCCCAAAACCCGGGGTCCCATAACTTTGAGGCTCTTCCCTCTTCCTCCCCGCCTCCCCCTCCTCGCACACGCTGCATTTGCTTTGGATATATTTGGCGCACGGACACGGAGACGGAGCGGCACCGCACGCGGCAGATTTCACCGCACGGACTGCGGAAGATGCGGGGATCTCTCCCGGTCCCCCGCCTCCTCCCACCGTCAGTAGCAGAGACACCACCGAGGACCAGCAGCTTTAACCATCTCTTCGTGCGAGCCTGCGTGTGTCCGTGCGCGGCACAGATGGGGCTGTGTGCTCCGCGTGTGCGCGCCGCAGACCTGCCGCTGCCGCGCCGCTGATGAGAAGATGGAGAGAGTCCAAACATCCGCCAACATGTGACTTCTTTATTTCTCCAAACTAAGAAAAAGCAGAGGTGGGAGAAGTACTCAGATCTTCAGTAAAAGTAGAAGTACTCAGATCTTGAGTAAAAGTGATACTCAGATCTTGTACTTGAGTAAAAGTAGAAGTACTCAGATCTTGTACTCGAGTAAAAGTACTCAGATCTTGTACTCGAGTAAAAGTAGAAGTACTCAGATCTTGTACTTGAGTAAAAGTAGAAGTACTCTGATCTTGTACTTGAGTAAATGTAGAAGTACTCAGATCTTGTACTTGAGTAAAAGTAGAAGTACTCAGATCTTGTACTTGAGTAAAAGTAGTAGTACTCAGATCTTGTAGTTAAGTAAAAGTAGAAGTACTCTGATCTTGTACTTGAGTAAAAGTAGAAGTACCAGAGTGTAGGAATACTCAGTTACAGTAAAAGTCCTGCATTCAAAATGTTACTCAAGTAAAAGTAGAAAAGTATTATCATCAAAATATAGTGAAAGTAGCGACAGTAAAAGTAGTCATTGTGCAGATTGAACACAGTCTTGAAATTAATCTATTGTATTGATTCGTGTTCACCAACACGATTTTTGCATTTTATTCGTGTTGGTGAACACAAATCAATAGATTAATTTAATTTCGTGACTATAACACGAAATGCCGTGAGACTGTGTTGGCAGATTGGTCCATTTCAGAATAATATATATGATATGTTTTATAATGATTGATCATGAAAGTGTTCTCAAAGCTGGTAAAGGTGCAGCTAGTTTGAATGACTTTGTATACTGCAGGGTAGCTTGTGAATTTACTCCAGGTGGAACTAAAGTCTGATTTAACACTTGATTATATTTCACATCATTCATCCACATCTGTAAAGTAACTAAAGGTATTAAATACATGTAGTGGAGGGAAAGTACACCATTGACCTCTGAACTGTAGTGGGGTAGAAGTACTTACGGTATACGTTTATGTACTTAGCTACTTTACACCACTGAAGAAAAGGAGTCAAGAAGGCGGCCAAAGAGAGAACTTGGTCTAGACGTGTGACTCTCTCCTTCTTCTTCTTCTTCCTCCTCCTCTTCCTCCTCCAGAGTGAATTCAGCATGGTTCCTGTTTGGCTTCCTTTTCTTCTTCTGCTCTCCTCCCTCCTCAAAGCTCAGGAGACTCCAGACTCCTCTCCAGGAGTCACAGTGGAGGCAGACAACAGCACAGGACCATGTATGTATATCTCCCATATTTATCTATTATTACAATAAGCAGTATTTTATTTCACTCAACAGCATTTAATTGTACATTCTTATTCTGCATTACTTGCACAATAGTCTTGCACTCATTTATTTCTACTCTGTTTCTTCTTGCACTATTTTCATTTATTTTTTTAACTGTTTTATGTCTTATACATATTTATTTAGCATTGTGGGAGGAGCCTGCAGTGACTTAGGTTTTCCATTGCATATCTGTAACTGTTTGCGACCATTTTGTTATTTATATAGCACACTATGATTATATGTTTCTGTCCCTTTAGTAGATTGATATATTGAGTATTATAGTGTTTGGATACCCTTCTGAATATATGTATTTTCTACTGAGAATATTTCGTTTTTAATTTAAAATGTGTAATGTTTATTTATTTTAAAGAATTTTTGTAATTATTACATTGACTGTCAAAATGCTGCTGTGACAAAACAATTACAATATTTGTATCTATCTATCTACACAAAAAACCTGAAACGTTGGCTTTAATTAAATGTATTATGTCAACAGATTTCACGTAACTGTATCAGGTTAGTTGAAAGCAATGATATTAAGTTGAACCTAAAAAAATGTATTCAAACTAAATATTATTGCTTTCAATAACATACATAGGTTATGTGAAATCTGTTGACATAATACATTTAATTCAAGCCAACGATTCAGTGTTTTCACTGTAAAAAAGCCCTTTTAAGTGTTGAACTCTGACCCTCAGATGTCTCCACCTCCGGACCCTCTGGTCCTTCTGGGATTGTGACGCCCTCCGACCCCCCCACCGTGCAGGAAGATGATTGGACCCCTGCGGAGAGCTTCCTGTACTCCGGAGACTCCTCGGCTCTGGAGGTTTCTCGTTGCTCACAAGCGTTCAGCCTCTCGGGACAAAACGCCCCCTCGCTGCCCCCCAGCTTCAGCGCCCCCCTGAGACCGGCTCTGGGCGCTCTCGCTAACACGGCTAACTTCCTCAACATGATCTTCCAGGCGAGCGACCTGCGGGAGAGCACAGTGCAGGTCAGAGATGATCCTTTACTCAAGTAGAAGTACAGATACTTGTGTATAAAAATACTCTGGTAAAAGTAGAAGTACTGACTAAACTTCTTTACTCAAGTAAAAGTAAAGAAGTATGGGCTTCGAAATGTACTTAAAGGGGACCTATCATGCAAAATGCACTTTTGTACGTCTTTTATACATGAATATGTGTCCCCGGTGTTCCAGGGAACTCACCAAGTGTCAGAAAACACAACCCTCTCTATTTTCCTCCATACTCAAATCTCTAAACACGGGGCTGCAACGGATCTGATAAAAACTGATCCAGATTTGAACATTTCTCTGATGTCAGGACGGAGGAGCTGACCTATCAGGGGAATGAGAGGTTGCCGTGGCATGGTAACAGCATGGTAACACGACGCTCGTAACTCGGCCCCCTCCTTTGCAGGGGGGCGTGGTCAGCTGCAGCACATGCAAAGACAGGGTGGAGGAGAGCAAAATAGAGCAAAATGAGGCATGGCTAAAATGCATGATCTGTTTGGTATTTTGAAAAAGAAAACGTATAAATATACCTTATACAGGTATGGCCCTACAATATATTATTCAAATATAGCATGATAGGTCCACTTTAAGTAAAAAGTACCCATAACTTTGTGTCCTTGGGCGAGACACTTCACCCTAATTTGCTGTATTCACTGTTACATGTCTGATATGTGCTCTTTGAGCATTTGGAAAAGTGCTCTATTAAATTAACTTCAACATTGTACTTGTATGTTATCGTATTGTATCGTAGGAGGACATGGAGTGGTACCACGCTATGGTCCGCGCCCTCCTGGAGGCCGACATAGTGATCCGGAGGGCCCTGCTCACTTTTGACGCCGACCCGACGTCCCCCGAGCCCCAGCTGGTGCTCTGCGCCTCCCGAAACCCCAACGCCAAGGTGCCGAACATCATCCTGCAGGATCTGTCCAGAGCCTGGAAGAAGCTGCACCCCCCGGCACCGGCCCCCGACGACAGCTGGTTCAGAAACTTCAAGTTCCCGGAGCCCAGCCAACGGAGGTGGGAAGTAGTGGAGTACAATTACTTCGTTACTGTACATTTTTCTGGTATCAGTACTTTACTCCACTACTTATTTTTCAGACAGCTTTTGACTTTTACTTCTTACATTTTGAACACAAATACCTGTACTTTCTACTTCTTACATTTTGAACCCAAATACCTGTACTTTCTACTTCTTACATGTTGAACACAAATACCTGTACGTTCTACTTCTTACATGTTGAACCCAAATACCTGTACTTTCTACTTCTTACATTTTGAACACAAATACCTGTACTTTCTACTTCTTACATGTTGAACACAAATACCTGTACTTTCTACTTCTTACATGTTGAACACAAATACCTGTACTTTCTACTTCTTACATGTTGAACACAAATACCTGTACTTTCTACTTCTTACATGTTGAACCCAAATACCTGTACTTTCTACTTCTTACATTTCCCAAACAGGCTGGTTCCTTTAGTTTGAATGTGTGTTTGGTGGCCTGATCATTATTATTTAGAGTCATTGCGTGCCTATTGATTTGAACACGATCCGTGTATCCATCATTTCCTGGTCTTCTCTAAAGAAGAGGGACCAATGAAAACGTTGTCATGTTGCCGTTGTTCAGCATGGAAACATTCATTAGCTAACAATGACATTATTGTTCTATTAATATAAAGGGAGGTCAGGTACTCTTTAAAACAGCTGCTAGTTATGGGTACTTTTTACTGAAGTACATTTCAAAGCCCTCTTTACTTTTACTTGAGGAAAGAAGTTTAGTCAGTTCTTCTACTTTCACCAGAGTATTTTTAAACACAAGTATCTGTACTTCTACTTGAGTAAAGGATGTGTGTACTTTTGCCATCTCTGCCAGCCAACCAATGGCGGCTCTGTCGAAGAGAGTGCTGCTGAACGACCTGAGCACTTTGGACACGCCCAAATGGAGACAGGGCGACAGCTACGTGACCAATCACAGCGGGGTACGGTGGGCCGACGCCCCCTTCCTCGACTGTGAGGACGGACTGTTTGTTTCTGATTGGATACTCACACTGTCCACGGCCTTCTACGGACTCAAGCCAGACCTGACCCCAGAGTTCAGGTGAGACACACACACACACACACACACACACACACACACACACACACACACACACAGGACACTCAGACAAACACACACACACACACACACACACACACACACACACACACACACACACACACACACACACACACACACACACACACACACACTGAAATCCACTTAAATGCCATGCCGGTTTCTGCAGATAAAGGAGAAACATATGGATATTTCTAATGAGAAGATACCTGGGACAACTCATGTTTCTGTGCTCTAACGCACATGTGACCCGTGTGTGTGTGTGTGTGTGTGTGTGTGTGTGTGTGTGTGTGTGGTGTGGTGTGTGTGTGTGTGTGTGTGTGTGTGTGTGTGTGTGTGTGTGTGTGTGTGTGTGTGTGTGTGGTGTGTGTGTGTGTGTGTGTGTGTGTGTGTGTGTGTCAGAGGTGTGATCCGGGTGGACGTCAACATCCAGGACATGGACCTGGATCAGTGTTCAGAAGGAGACGGATGGTTCTCTGACTCTCACCAGTGCAACCGCACCACCATGCAGGTAATGAAACAATAATAAAAGAACCAGAGAGAAACCAAGGATGCTCTAAAGGTCAAATATAGCATTACTATAGCATTTAAAACAGCGCCAATGGTACGATATACACTTCCTGTTTTGTTAAATGGGTGTGGATGTTTACATAGCTAACACACATGTTTAGGATTAAGGAAATCAGTTAGCTATCGGAAGTTGATGTTAGCTTAAAAGGTTGACATATTTTAATGCTCTGGAAAGGCAAGTGTATTTATATAGCACTTTTCAAAACAAGGCCATTCAAAGTGCTTACGAGATCTCCAAAAGAGTTTGTCATTTCGAGACTTATTATCAAAGCATTACTTCTCCTTCTTGAGACCAGCTGAATCCTAAAGAGGCAGGAAATGGACTCTCAGTGCGGCTTCTCTCTCCTAAAATGTCTCTGGAAACACTAAGTGCCTGAGTCCACATGGAGCCTTTTTAGGAGCGTGCTTTTGAATTGATTCCAATGAGAGCAGAGTGGTGTCTTTGAGCCAATCTAAAGTAGAGAAGTGCACTTTTGTTTTAGTCTATTTATCATCAAAAGGCCCAATGACACAGGACACATTGCTGCTTTGTTAATTGTTTGTTTGTTAGCAGGAGATCTCATAAACTATTCAACAGATTTCAATGAAGTTTGATGAGATGTTGGGCAACTTTCCAAGATTCAAGTTGTTGTTTTTGTCAAAAGCAACAGCAATAACACTTAGCCCTTTATTGACATATTGACTTTGACAGGGGCTAGAGGGATGGCAATGTTCTTCCATTCAAGACTGAAATATCGAAACAACTATTACATAGATTGCTATGAACTTTGGTACACATGTTAGAGGTACCCAGAAGATCAATCAGAATGATTTTGATGATTCCCTGGCTTCTCTTGCAGTGCCACAAGCAGGTCAAAGTTTAGACGTATTGAGTGAAATACCTCAACAATAACCAGCAGGCTAACCCTTTCGTTTAAAGGGCGTTAGTTAATATCTCTACACAGGATTCAATGGAAACAAAAATGATATTTGTATGTCCTGTGATTTTGGCGGTATACATTTTAAAGTAAAAAAGATTGAAAACTTTAACTTTCCTTAGATACTTTTACTGAATTTGAAAGCAGCAGTTTGCAGCTGGAAAGGAAAATGTTGCTAATTGGATGATTTAAAGCAGGGGTGTCAAACTCAATTTCATCGCGGGCCACATTTGCATAAAGGTTGCACTCAAAGGGCCGGTTGTAACTATATAAATATATAATATATATATAAAATAATGTATTATATTACATTATTGCCTCTGAATTGGATTATTATCGGATGGGACAATAACTTAGTAATTAACTACGTCTGAAAGCAGAAGTCCACGGCAATAATTGCAAGTCTCTTCAGTGCGCATGTCACAAAACGAGATGCATTGTGGGACAT